CATGCCCATTCAAAGACTTGTACATGAATGATCATAGGAGCTTTATTTGTAATAGCTCTAAATTGGAAACCATACAATGATCTATCAACATGTAGATAAACAAATTGTCATTATGTACACAATGGAGTAGTACTCAGCACAATATAAAAAATAAATAGAAGATACACTAATATATGCAAAAACCCAGATGAATCTCAAAATGATTCTGCTAAGTAAAAAAAGCCAGACTCTCCCCCTCCCCCAAAATGCATACTGTATGATTTCATTTTTATGAAATTCTAGAAAATGCAAACTAATCTATAATGACAGAACACAGTTCAAGGGTTGCCAGGGATGGGGCAAGCAGGAAGCAAATAGGGGCAGGAGGCAGGGATTACACATGAGCAAACTTTTGGAAGTGATAAATACATTCATTATCTTTATTGGTAATGGTATCACGGGTGAATAACTATGTGAAAACTTACCAAATTATGTACTTTAAATACATTCAGTGTTTTTAATGTCATTTATACCTCAATAAAGTGGTTAAAAATGCTAATGGTTATCTCTGAGTGATGGACTTAGAAGTAATTTTTATTTTCTAAGTACTTATCTATATTTTCTGATTTTTTAATATTAGAAATGTATCATTTTTACAACAGGAAAATTCAATAACAAAGACATTTCCCTTCACCAAACAAAATGTACAAAACAAACAACAAAACGAAACAGCCCTAATGCCACTGCAGAGTTCAGGAATCATACCAGGACACGCCCCGGCGTTTGTCCTTTCTCATCAGTCCTGCCTCTGCTTGGTGTGCCTTTCAGTCTGTAGGTTATTTCTGCATCTGTGGGAAACTAACTCTTGCCTCTCCTCCATCTCCTCATTTTTCTTCCTCCATAATACCTATTATTGGTTAGATCTCTTGGATCTGTCCGCCAAATATCTTTTCCCTCAAATTTTCCATCTCTTTGCACTTTTGCTCATGTACTTGGAGACGTCTTCCATTCAACCTTCAATTTAAGACATTCATTAGAGTCTCTAGAGTAGTATATTAGTTTTCTTTTCTTTTTCTTTTTTTTTTTGTCTTTTTGTCTTTTTCCGTGTCCGGCAACGGATCGCAACCCTCAGTGTTGCCCCCGGACCGGGGACTGGCAACGGGATCGCAACCCTCGGTGCTGCTCCTGCGCCTCGCTCAGCCAGTGAGCGGGAACCGGTCTGCATGTGGGATCCGAACCCTCGGGCGGGAGCGCCACCACATTTCCCAAGCGGCGCACTATCCAGTGCGCCACTGGGCCGGCCCCAGTATATTAGTTTTCTATCGGTGCTGTTACAAACTACCACAAACCTGGTAGCTTAAAACAACACAAATTATTGTACAGTTCTCAAGAGCACAGTCTTAACACAGCTAAAATCAGTGTTGGCAGTGAGTGCTGTGTTCCTTCCTCTAGGGGACAATTCTTGTCCTGTCTTTTCCCCTTCTGCAAGCCACCTGCATTCTTTGGCTACTGACCCCTTCCTCCATCTTCAAAACACATCACTTCAACCTCTGCTTTCCATCACTTCATCTCCTTCTTGTGATTATATTGGGCCCATCTGCATAATTTTCCCATCTCAAGGCGCTTAATCACAAATGCAGAGTTCCTTTTGCCATATAAGGTAACATATTCACATTCAGGGATCTTTGTGGGGGATCTTTTATTGTCTCCCACAAGTGGCCACTCTCTTTTTCAACTTATTTACATATTGTGTTGGTACTCCTGAACTCTTCGTAGTGTTTCCTTGAATCTCTATAAATGTTTTTGTTATTTTTCTATTAGGAAATTGTGTTTCTTCCATCTTTGTATTGCAGAGTTTTGTGGTCTCTTCTACCTGACTGATCTTTCAGTCTGCTAGGCTTACTTATATGTGCAGTTATTTTCTCTTTTTTCTTTTTTGTCTGTGTGCTTCAGGTCTGTTGCCAAAGTGCTTTAGGTGACAACATTCCCCAAAATTGTGAGTGGCAGAGTGACTTCTCTCCCCATAGGTCAGGAGTATGGGAGCAGATAGACCACCTGTCTGTTGCTGAGGATTGAAACAAGCCCCATTCCCTGGATTCCCCATGCTTGTCTGGATTCAGGGTCAAGGAGGCGTCCTCCACCCATACAGCTCTTACTTAGTCTTTTGCAGACCAGAGAGACCAGAAACACTGCTGGGTGGTCATTACTGATGCTAACATTCACCAGGAAACCTAAAGATTTCTGCAAACAAAATTCCTCCTAGGACTTGTCATCTGAATATGCTCGTCCCTCTGATATTTGTCTCCAGGCTCTCATCCAGCCCATAGTGGTAGACAGTGCTGTCCAGTTGCCTCCCCGGAGACCTCTGGACACCAGCCACCTGCCCCAGCAGTTATTTAGCACTGAGGAGTTAGTTGACAGAGAAAGGAAGGGAGTGTCCAGTCATCACCTCAGAATCAAGGGATTCTGACCCCTTCCACCATCAGCACCACACATACTCATCACATTCTGTTTTTAAAATTCATTTAAGGATAATTCCAGGCCAACCCATGATAATGAAAAGCTGGCGTCAAAAAATGTAGGTCATTTATAACCATTAGCTGTAAAAACAAAATGACTTCAGTGGATCAAGATGTAAAAGGCAAACACTGACAGAAAAGAAGAAATGACATTCTGAATATCAGTAAAAGTAGAACTCAAGAAGAAATGCATTAAATCAAAGAATGATAACTCTAATCAATAATTAATCAACAGACAATACTAATTCTAATACTAATCCGTTATACTAATTTAAAAAATAATGAATCTAAGCAGTACTCATATAACATTTTTAAATCCTTACATACAAAATAGTAGCATCAAATATATATGAAACAAAATCTTAGAAACACAGAGAATATGATGCTACTGCAATATGATCATAGTGGATTCCTTTAACATGTCTCAGAATTGACAGGTCACATAGGCAAAAAGAATGTAATGAGGATTTGAAAAATACCCTACATAAACTTGCTCTCATAGAGAGCTCTGTACCCATAGAGAATGAATATTTTCTTTAATGCTCATGTAGTAGTTGATAAAGACAATCACAATAAATTATAAAAAGTAGAAATCTTGCAGACCATATTCTCTGATCACAATGCAAAAAACAAAAAAATTAAACCCAAAAGACTAGCACTTCCCCATTCCTTCAATATAAACCCTTGAAATTTTTTAAATATATAGACTTTTTTTTCTAAATGATAGTGGTTAAATAAGAAATCAATAATGAAACCATAGACTAAACATGAATCATAATTTTAGAATCACACATAAAAGCTTTGTGGTATGACAGAAGTAAAAATTTAGAGTTGCCAGATAAAATATACAATACCCAGTTAAATTTGAATTTCAGATAAATGAATAATTGTAATGCATGGCATATACTTATACTGAAAAATTATTTTTTTATCTGAAATTCAAATATAATTGGAGAGCCTGTATTATTATTCACTAAGTCTGGCAACCCTAGTTTAAATGCATTTATTGAAAAACAAGAAAGACCAGAAAAAAATAATTAGGCATTCAACTCAAGAATATAAAAAATAGCACAACAAAGTAAACCAAAAGAAAGTACGTAGAAGAAGATTAAAGGCAAAAATTAATCAAATAGGAAAAAAAGATAAAATAAAAACAGTAGACCTAATTTTGAAAAATGAAAAGTTGGTTCACTGACAGCAATAAAATAGACAAACTTCTGGCAAGTTGAATCAGGTAAAAAGAAGCAATAAATAACATTTAAAACAAAAATGGGTATATAATCAGATCAAAAATAGGGTTGTTTTAAGGTAAAGAGACTTTATACTAATAAATTTAAAAGTCAAGGTAAAAAGGGTTTTAACCCCAAAAATCAATTATTAAAATTTGTTTAGGAAGAAAGATCAAAGCTAAATAAAAATAACAGAGGGAGGGGAAGAGTTTATAGGTCATTTTTAATATACCTTCATTGATTAGATAATTCCTATATTGTTTAAACTATTCCACATCATAGAAAAAAATCAATACTTCCCAGCACATTTTGAAGCTTGCATAGCCTGATACCACACTGAACAAGAACGGTGCAAGGAAAGTACAGATTAGTCTCGTTTTTGTATCTTTACAGAAAGTTGTTCATCATATCTTGTTTTGTGAAAAGCATGTTGTAGAATAATTATGCAAAGTATTCCGCTTGTATTTTTTTTACAATACTATATTTGTGCCTAAATATATTCCATTTTTATATGCCTATTGGTAGGATTACTTAGAAAAAAGGGTCTGGAAGGATACTCATAACACTATTAAGAATGTTAACATAGTATTGAAAGGAAAAAGCCTAGAGGAGATTTTCACTCTTTATACACTGTGATGTGTTTTGAATATTTTTACAGTAGGCATATATTTTATAACATTAAATAAAGCTTTTCAAAATGTATTTCCATTGCTGTAAATACTTGGAAGAATCCTTAAAGGATTTTACATATAGTTTCTTTATCACAAATGAAAATACATTTTACATCTTCAATTGAACTAAATAAAATATTTCCAAACTATTTTTTGATCATATATCCACATAATAGGAAACAAAGCAAATACTGAGGCGTCTCCAATTTAATTTGCAATGGGTAAGAAGTTGTGACTCTCACTCAGCTTTTACTCCTTGGAAATAATTTTATTTTAGAAACTGACCTCTCAGTGACCCTGTACCTGCACATCCTGGAGTTTTTCATTACACCTAAGTCTGCAGAGGGCTGGGAACACCTTAATTCTCAGTGCTGCTTTATTTTCTTTATGAAAATAAGGAAATTTAGGATGTGAATTTAGAGGGATACAAGAAACAGATCTTTTAAATTAATTAAAATAGAGACTGGTCTTTTGTGGATTGTTTTAAAGTTGCATCATTATAGATTAAATATTATTCAAGATGCATTTTTTAAAAATTCTCTGTAGTATTTCATCAAAATTCTTTTTAATAATGTTCTCCAATCTTTGAATAATATTTCTAGAATGAAGAAAGAATTAAAGAGAAAAGGAGGCATTTGGGAGATACAAAGCATTTTTGTCCAGTGGTTCTCAAAGAAAACTTCGTCCTACAACCAGGAAACACAGAAGAAGCAGCTAAATATCGAGAAAAGGTCTACTACTTTTCAAGTCCTGAGGCTAAAGAAAAGTTTTTGGAGCATCCTGAAGACTATGTGGCTCATGAAGAACCATTAAAGGTGAAAACAGTATTTCTAAAAAGACAGATATGAAGTGCTGGTTTAACACAGTCATTACTGTAAAAATCAAAACAGATAATCATCTTATGTTATATTCCAAAAAGTTGTTCTTTGAACTTGGATATTTTCACTATGTTGTTATATCAGATCGGGGACTTTATTATTAAGTAAAATAATGGAGGTTGGTGATAAGTCCTTAAAAAAGTACTCCAGAGCTGAAGTAAAAAGACACAGCTGGATTTATTGCTCACTATCTAACTTAATGGCCAGCTATGTTGGTTAGTTTTTCTGAGCAGAGCAGGCTGATGACCTTGTAGAACATTTTTGGGAAGAGTGGAATTCAGGGTCTGGTGGATTTTCAGAGGCATAAGTGGGTTGACATCATCTGTGGAAGTGTGATTACTCAGGTGAGTTGACTGCTTCACACTCAGAGGAATGTTACAGGTAAGTCCATCCCTGACTGGTTGATTTACAGGAGTGAGAGCTGACACCAATTGTTGGATCGCAAACATTGAGTTTGCCAGGGACATTTCCCTTCCCTACCCAGCTACCTTAATACCCTCTGAGTTCCAGACCGCTCTAGCTGCCAGACATTTATCCTGTGGATGAGTGAGGTGTTATTCCAGCAATTTTATCACTGAGGGATTTAAAATGCAATCCAAAAGTACGGTGTGAGACTGCAGCTACATAATTTCATAGCAGTCTATTTTTATTATTCGCCAGTCCATTTTTCATTATTTTTCTCAAGTGATGCATCAATTAACTTGTCACATGCCCAGTTCTTGAACTAATGATGGCAGCAATTTCTCTGGAAGCATATAAACTAAGAGTGATGAAGGGTGGTCACCCAGAGGGAGATCCAGATATAATTAACCGAAGAAGGGTGAATAAATGCTGTGTGGCAAAATCAACAGCTTTTAACAGCATGTCTTCTGTTGTTTTTGTGGGGTTTTTTATATCCTTGTTCTGCTGAAACACATCTTTAGCCAACTTGTATATCTGAAGTCTCATTCTTTAGTTCTCATATATGTTTGATAGTTTTACAAACATGGATTTCTAGGTTGAAAATCCTTTTTCTCTCAGAACATTAATGATATTGCATTATTGTGTGCAAGCATCCAGTGTCGCTGGACTGATTTTCATTTTTTGTAGGTAATTTCTTTTAAAAAAATATCTGTATGCTCTAAGGTCTTCTTTTCACTGTTGGCGTTCCTGAAACTGGGTTTATTTTTTATGCATTGTACTGGATACACAGTGCATGTTTATTCTGAAATTACATCTTTTCCTAGAATCCTAGAATTTCACAGTACTCTTGAACTTTTTACCACTAGAGAAAAGAAAGAGCATCATATTTTTAATCTCTATAAGCTCCTTCTTTTCTCTGATAGATCTTTTTTCAAATATCCTCTTTGTCTTTTATGAACTTGCTCTCTTCTTAAACTTTTTTTTTTTTTGTCCTTTTTGAGACCGGCCGCACCGCGCTCAGCCAGTGAGCGCTGTGAGCGCACTGGTCATCCCTATATAGGATCCGAACCCGTGGCAGGAGAGCTACTGCGCTCCCAGCGCCACACCCTCCCGAGTGTCATCTTTTTTAAAGATGACCGGTAAGGGGATCCCTTGACTTGGTGTTGTCAGCACCACGCTCTCCCACGTGAGCTAACTGGCCATCCCTGTATGGGATCCGAACCCGTGGCCTTGGTATTATCAGCACTGCACTCTCCCAAGTGAGCTAACCGGCCATCCCTGTATGGGATCCGAACCCGTGGCCTTGGTATTATCAGCACTGCACTCTCCCAAGTGAGCCACGGGCCAGCCCTCTCTTCTTAAACTTTTTTCTTTTTTCCTTTTTTTTTTTTTTTCCTTTTTGTCTTTTTTTCGTGTCCGGCAACGGATCTCAACCCTCAGTGTCGCGCCCGTACCGGACCGGGACCGGCAACGGGATCGCAAACCTCGGTGCTGCGCCCGCACCCCGCTCGGCCAGTGAGCGGGAACCGGTCTGTATGTGGGATCCGAACCCTCGGCGGGAGCGCCACCGCACTCCCAAGCAGCGCACTGTAGCAGTGCGCCACCGGGCCGGCCCCAAACTTTTTTCTTTTTTAATTTTATTTTGTCAATGTACAATGTGGTTGATTATTGTGGCCCATTACCAAAACCTCCCTCCCTCCTCTCCCTCCCCCCTCCCTCTCAACAACCCCATATCTGTTCTGTCCTATCAACTTCAAGGAATTGTAATTGTTGTGTCTTCTTCCCTTAAGCCTCTTTTTTAAAAAAATTCTTCCCTGTTCCTTGAATTACCCAACTTCTGTTTCTTCTGTATGTCTCTGGTATACTTTTTCCCTACATCTTTGTACTTTTCTCTGAACATTTCATTCACATGGACAAAAAGTGGTGAGGCTATGCTCCTTGCTTCTCTTGAAATCCATTATTTCCCTTTTCCCTTGCAAAAACTCCAGCCCCTTTGAGGCTTATCACCACCAAGATATATCATTGACCCCTCTCTTTGTTGCTGTCATCTACCAATTTCATAGTATTTCTCCACATTAACAGAATACTTGGCCGCTGCTTTGTCCCAACTCTCACCATTGTTCTTGACAATTTCAGCATCCAATGGATGATCCATACAACTGTGGGTTCTCTGGCTTCAGGCTTCCTCGTCTCCAGTATGGAGATCACAGGAATTAATGGGGTTTCATTATCAATGAGCTTTTTGTTTGGTAGAGAATTTTTTTTAATTATGCTAAAAAATTAACTATCCATTCTTCATTACCTTTTTTAAAAAACAAAACTAATTAAATTTTATTTTATTAAATGCTTTTTTGGCATATGATACCAAGATGATCTTATGGTTGTCGATGTTACCTGAGGACCACTGTTGATGCAACGAATTATGTTAATTGATATTCTAATACTTAAACATCTTCAAATTCATGAATTGGTAATTCCTACTCAATCTTAGGGAGGGCAGTTAATAAACCTTATGTTTTCTAAATTACACAAAACTTTCCTTTCTTCACTCTCTCTCTGCCCCTCCCTGACCCGTCCCGTGTGTCAGGCTCCTCCATTAAGAATATGCCTTGTGGGTCCACATGGCTCTGGCAAAACCGTGTGCGGAAGACAGTTGGCAGAAAAATTGGACATTTTTCACATTCAGTTTGAAGAATTTCTTCAGGAAAAATTAATGCTCAAAACTGAAAAGAGAGTCGATTCTGAATTTGAGGAAGATTCTGAGGAAGAACAAGTTGCAAAACAAGAACTCGAAGAGCTTGCAATTCAGGCCAATGTTAAAATTGAAGAAGAAAATTCAAACAAGCAGGTAGTAATATTAATCTCTTTGCAGATAGATGTACTTACTGATGTTACTTTGGGGAAGTAGATGAGAAGTAATGTAAAACTCTACACAGTTCCTAAGAAGAGAAAAAAATTAGCCCATAAAAGTCATTTAAAGAGTCATCCTTCCCATATGTTAAATACACATCTTACTGCTCATCTAGAATATGAAATACTGAGTTTTACATGACTCCAATAAAAATCAGAAAACGTTTCCCTGACAAAACTGTTGCATAGCATTTATTTGGGGCTATGTTGTTTGATATGTTTCACCTAGACAATAAGTTTTTCCATTATTGTGTTCTCTGTTTCCTATAAAATATCATAAAAATCCACCCCAGTGACAACTGGGATCTCAAAATACTAATTTCTAATGGTGTCTTATCAGAAAGTTTGTATGCGTCTTTTAGATGGTTTCTATCCAGAATTGTAAAAAGAAAATTCTTAATTCTAACTCACATTTTAACCATTTCTTATATAGCTAGATTATTTTTTTCTCAAATGATCCCTTTTCAATGGATCGAGATACAACTATGTGTGTAACACTTAAAGTTGGAGCAGGGTGGGATAGTGACATGTGGTATCCTAAACATATTCTTTAAATGTTTTCCACCTATATTTAGTAGAATCAGAGAGAAACTGATATTCCATTAACTTAAAAAAAAATGTATGTAGATCCAGATTTTTAAATTTAAGAGGTCTAGATTTTAAAATGCAACAAAATGTTTCCTGCGTTTCTATAGTTTCATGTTTGGTTTTCTTTTGTTTTCTGAATCATTTGACTTCTCAGGAGACAAATTAAGGGATTTTATGTTTTAGATAATAATAAAATTAACCCTGCTCCCTGGTGGGCAGATGGTCATACCTTACTCAGTTTCAGGATTTTGGATGTCAAAAGTACCCTGCAATAATATTTTCATTCTAGTAAGAACTGTTGTTTTTCACTATCTGTTCAATGATGATCCCACCTCAGACAGCGTTGATGTCAGAGAGTATGAGTTAATTATCACAGTATTTTCTGTTTGTTATTGTGGTGTTGTAATATCCTTATAGATTATATTTCAGATGGCTGTGTGGTTGGCCCACAGGATCGAGTTTGGAGATAATACTGCACAAATATAAGGTAGATGACAAAAATCAGTTAAGCCTTATAGGTGTGTGAGACAAAGTGAACTAGGTTTTAGCAAAAAGTATTGAGACATGACCCCAAGCCCATGTATGAAAATCAGTCATGTTATCATTAGTAACTCCTCCTAGCTATACATAGATACTATTTGTTATGTATGACCATATTAAATATGAGTTTGAAAAAAAAAGCTCAAATTTTTAAATGTTTACAGGCAACAGTATAAAAAAAGACCTCAGAGAAAAAAAGGTCTTATTCTAATGAACTATGTCATATAGTATTATTTACTAATATAGAGCTTTAAAACTTGTTTTATTTTCTGATTTTTATTTTTAGCCTCCAGAAGTACAACTTACAGAAGAAGAAGAAGCAATCAAATCAAATCTAACGGAAAACGAGTCATTGCCTGCTGAAATTCTTGAAGCAATTCTTTCTGAGTGGTGGTTTAAGGAACCAATACGGTACTTAATTTATGTAGGATTATACATTTATTGCTTTTATTTGCTTTATTCTTAAAAGTTAAAACGTAGTTCAACATAAATTTAAGGATGTTCTCCTTTATATTCATATAAACTGGTGATTCTCACTGGAGCTAAACATTAAAAATATCTGTGGAATTTTTAAAAAATACTGATGCCAGAGCCCCACCCAAAATAATTGATTCAGAATCTCTCAAGGTGTGAGACTGAGACCCAGGCATTCGTATCTTTGAGTGCCCCCAGGTGACCCTAATGTGCACTTGTAGCTGAGAACCTGTGTTCTAAACCCATGTACCCTAATGATGTGCTGGATTCTTCCCCTGTGGCCTTTTAACAATTACTGTTAAGACCAATTAATAGCTGTACATAGTGTTATCCCTTTACCAAATGCTAGAAACAATCCTAACCCCTGACAGGACAACTTTAAGAATCTTTAGGTCATAAGATTTTAAAACTTCACCTTGATTTCCTAACAAGAATCTCTTGGCTTGATATCCACCAGAAGAAAGTGAAATTATATTTCCAATACTATTTATAGCACAAAACATTCATGTGTGGAACATACCATGTGCCAGGTACTGTTTGACTGTGTTTTATTCATATTAACTTACTTAATCCTTACAACAACCCTATAGGGTAGAAACTTTTACTATCTCATTTTGGATATAACGAAACTATTAGTCCATTTTTGTTGCTTATAACGAAATACCTGAAACTGGGTGATTTATAAAGAAAAATGACATTTATTCCTTACAGTTCCTGAAACTGGGAAGTCCAAAGTCCATCTGGTGGTGGCAACAGTGACCCAGGGTTCTCACATTGCAAGATGGTGGAAGCAGAAAGAGCAGAGAGAGAGACAGACTCTCCTCTTCTTTTAAAGCCCTCAGGACCATGCCCCTGACCACCATTTTTAATCCATTCACTATTGCAGGGTCCTACAATCCGATCACCTCTTGAGGCTCCACCTTTCAATTACTACAATAGGATTTCCCACCCTCTTAACAGTCACAGTGGGGACCAAATTTCTAATACATAAAACTAGGGGGACACAAATTCAAGCTTCAATGAGTTTTGGGGGGACATAATTCAATCCACTACATTCCACCCCTGGCCTCACAAAACTCATGTTTTTCACATGCAGATAATTTCATTTCATTCCCAAAAGCTTTAACTTGTTTCAACTCAAAAGACCAAAGCTCAAAGTCCCATCTGAAAAATCAAAAAAAAGTTATCTACTTTCAAGATACAATGGTGGGACAAGCATTGGATCCTTATACCCATTCCATAAGGGAGAAATAGGCCAAAAGAAAGGATAACGGGTCCCAAACAAGTCTGAAACCCTGCCAGACAGGCATTAAATCTCAAAGCTGGCGAATCAGATGCTTTGACTTCATGTTCGATGTCTTCTGCACGCTGGTGTAGGGGTTGGATCCCCAAGTCCTTGGGCAGTTCTGCTTCTATGGCTTTCTCAGGCCACACTTCAGCTCTCACAGCCTGGCATCAGATGCTGGTAGCTCCACAGGTCTGGGGTCTCCATGGCTGTCCCGCTCTCTTGGCTCCACTAAGCACGGCGCTGATGGGGTTTCTCTGCTGCAACTCTGACTCCACATTTCCACTAAGCATTGCTCTAGCGAAGGCTGTCTAGAGTGATTCCACCCCTGTGACAGATCTCTTCCAGGGTCCCCAGACTTTTCCATACATCCTTTGATGGGGTGGAGGCTTTCAAGCCTCCAGAGCTCTGGCATTCTGCCAGCCTGCAGACCTAAAACCACATGGATGCTGCCAAGGTTTCCAGTTTGGATTTTACAAAGCTGCAGGTCCAGCCATACCTGGGGCCAATTTAGCCATGGCTGGAGCAGCCAAAGCAGCTGGGGTGCTGCTGCTGGAAGCAGCTTCCTGAGGTGGCCCTGAGCAGCAAGCCTGTGGAGAGCACCTCAGGTCTGTTCCCCAAAACCATTCTGTCTCCTTAGGCCTTTGTGCCTAAGGGTTGGCCCTAGAGGCTTCTGCAATGTCTTTAGGGCCTTTTTCTCCTTCTCTTGATAATCCCGTGCTTTTGTGTTAATCTTCTTAGTACCATTGAATTTTTCTTCTGAAAATGATCTTTGCTTCCCTACCAGATGGCCAGGCTGCAAATTTTCCAAATCTTTATACTCTGCTTCCCTTTTAAATTCTGGCTTTATGTCATGCATTTGCCTCCATAACTCAGCATAGGCTGTTGGAAGTAACCATGCAGCTTCTTTAATGCTTTGCTGATTAGAAATTTTTTCTGCCAAGTACTCTGGTTCACAACTCCTAAGTTCCAGCTTCCACGAAGTCCTACGGCATGGACACAGTGCAGCCAAATTCCTTGTCAGTTCACAGCAATGGTGATCTTTTCCCCAGTTTCTGATAAACTCCTTTTTATTTCTATCTGAGACTTCCTTAGAAGGGTCTTTACAGTCCATGTTTCTATCAGCATTCTGCTCGCCACCACATAACCAGTCTCTAAGACATTCCAAACTTTCCTTCGTCTTTTTGTCTTCTTCTGTGTCCTCCAAACTCCTCCAACCTTTCCTCAACACCCAGTTCCAAAGCCGTTTCCACATTTTCAAGTTTCTGTTATAAGCAACACCCCAACTCTCTACTACCAATTTTCTGTATAGTCCATTTTGTGTTGCTGTAATAAAATACCTGAGCGGGGTAATGTCTAAAGAACAGAGGTTTATTTGGCTTATGATTCTGGAACAACTGCATCTGGTGCGGGCCTCAGGCAGAAAGTGGCAGGCAGCCAGTGCAAGAGATCACATGGTGAGAGGAAGCAAGAGACAGAAGAGGTACCAGAGTCCTTTTAAACAACCAGCTCTCATAGGAACGAATAGAGCCAGAACTCATTCAGGACCACCCCCCATCCCTCCCCACAGGGACAGCATTAATCCACTCATGAGGGATCAGCTCCCATGACGCAAACAGCTCCTAACACTGCCACATTGGGGATCAGATTTCCACCTGAGTTTTGGCGGAGACAACACGTCCAAACTCTTGTGCCAGGTACTGTTTGACTGTGTTTTATTCATATTAACTTACTTGATCCTTACAACAACCCCATGGGGTAGAAACTTTTACTATCTCATTTTGGATATAAGGAAACTGAATCATAGAGAATTGAAGTGACTAGTCAGTTCCAGTGCTCCTGGTAGGTCTCTGGGCACTCTCTTCCACCTAGTCCCTGGCCTAAAGGAGTGAGTGGGATTATTAGTCATCAACTTTATTTTTAAGTTCTTGTTCCCTAAATTAGTTCAATAGTTGTAAGAAAGTTAGGCAGGTTATATGAGTTGCTCTTCATTAATTTAACTCCTAACCTCACACTGTACACTAAAAAATATAGATATATAGACATGGATACAGATATATAGATAGAGAGATGGATTGAAGAATTAAAAATGAAAAGTAGAATTGTAAAAGTCTAAACAAAATAGTTGAATATTATGCAACCATTAAGATTTATTATAATGAAAAATTTGTAATAGCATGAGAAAATGTTATTATGTAATGTTAAGTTAAAAGAGAAGGTACAAAACTATTTATAATATGATAGAGACATGGACACATAAAGAGCCAACTAGAAAGAAATAAAACAAAATGTCAATATCCTCTGGGATATGGGACTATTTTTGCCTTTTTCCATGCTTTTCTCCATTTTCCAATTTTACTGTTGTGAGATTTGTTGCTTTTATAATCAGAGGAAAATCAACACGTTTTAAAAAGGCATTAGTCCTGGAGAGATATAATAAAGGCCTGAACTAGGAGGTAATGGCAGAAATGGAAATGTGAGTACAGAGGGAGCATGCCAGGACTTAGCATATGTGAGAAGCAAAAGGGAGCTTGGGGAGAGGTCCAGATGTCTCTGAAGCTTGTCAACTGAGTGCTGGAGAGTCAGAAGGAAGAGAAGTTTGGATGGGGAACCATGAGTATGATTTTTGACAGTATAATGCATATATAATTCCTAAAGGCATTCAGATGGAGAAACTAAGCAGCTTTTGAAAATTCTGAATTTACACTCTGAAGGTTAGGTGTAGAGGTATAAAGATTGAAAGTGATTGACAAAAAGTGATAGCTGAAACAATAGGAAAAGTTCCTCCCAGAAGAGACTAGACAGAAGGCATCTCTAAAGAAAAGAACATATAGGGCTGGCCAGTTAGCACTGTTGATTAGAGTAAGGTGCTTGATAGAGTTTGGATGTGTTGTCCCCACCAAAACTCATGTGGAAATCTGATCCGCAGTGTAGCAGGGTTGGAAGATGAGTCATGGGGGCAGATCCCTCATGAATGGATTAATGCTTTCCCTGGGTGGTGGGGATCCTGAGTGAGACTTTGCTCTACTAGTTCCCACGAGAGCTGGTTGTTTAAAAGACCTTGGCACCTCCTCTCCCTCTCTTTCTGTCTCTCTCTGTGTCTCCCCTTCTCTCTCTCTCTCTCTCTCTCTCTCTCTCTCTCTCTCGCTTCCTCTCACCATGTGATCTGCTTGTACCTTTCTGCCTGCCACTTTCTGCCCTGAGTAGAAGCAGCCTGAGGTCCGTGCCAGATGCAGCTGTCCCAGAATCATAAGCCACATAAACTTCTGTTCTTTATAAGTTATCCAGTCTCAGGTGTTCTGTTATAGCAACACAAAATGGACTAATACAGTGCTGATAACACCAAAGCCCAGAGTTCGATCCCTGTATAAGCCAGCGGCCAAAAAAGAAAGAAAATGAACACATATTATGGCCAATATATGGCAAATTGCCCTCTTATTAAGAAAGGAAAATTAACATTTTTGAATTAACATCTTGGAAAGCTGAAACTGTCAAATGTTCATGAAGTCCTGTTCATATTAAGAAGAAAACATACATTTCAATACAAATATTTAAAACCAATATTGACTCTCTCAACTAAACAAAGCCAAGTTCTCAAAGCCTGATTGTTTTATAAGTACTCTCTAATGAAAATGTGTTAACGTTCCAGTTATTTTCACGATCCTTAAGTTTCATCATACTTGGGCGAGTCTGACAATCCTATTGAATATACTTATCTTATACATAGGAGCCAGGGCACATACATTTATAACTGTCATTGGTTGCAGAAAGATCCAGGGAATAGGACATGAATTGTGTCATGAAAGGAAGCGTCATTAAAAGAAAAATTACTAAAAGTGAGAGCACCCACTAAAAGTGGGCTGGCCAGGTGTACTCTTTACATAAAGGGCGACACATGCATTAGACTGGGCACTCCTCCCAAGCACAGAACTTATTTTCTTTTTTCCTATGATCTTCTTACAACTTTTAGTAACTTTCTAAATAGTAGTAAATGTCTGTAAACTGGTTGAGTACAATTTTATATTATAAATACAAATATAAAATACTATAATCTCATTACAATTTGATGTATTTGAGAGAAGAAATACCATGTATATAATTAGAAATATTAAAAGAAATAAAAGATACTAAAGTGAACTTTTTAAACTATTCACTACACATCTTATAGAGTTGAGATTTATCAATACTTTTTTCATTTTTAAATCCATCTTTATAAAATATTTTAAGTGAATAAAGTAAATTATGAAAAAAAACTATTCACTACACATCTTATAGAGTTGAGATTTATCAATACTTTTTTTCATTTTTAAATCCATCTTTATAAAATATTTTAAGTGAATAAAGTAAATTATGAAAATTTCTACCTAGTTCCACAGGTTTTATACTAGATGGTTTCCCACGATATCCCGAAGAGGCCCTGTTTCTGGGGGAGCGTGGGTTTTTCCCAGATGCTGCTGTTTTTATACAAGTTGATGAGCAAGATATTTCTGGTCGCCTCCTTCCTGCCCAAATTGAAAAGTGGAAAATAAAACAAAAGAAGAAATTAGAAAGGAAAAAACTCATCAAAGAGATGAAGGCAAAAATCAGGGTATGTATCATTAAAAACGCATGGAAATAAATCTGTTTAGCATCTATTTAAATTATAAAGCTGTCTTCAGAAAAATGTAGTTTTCAGATTTTAATATCACAGTAAGTATGAAAACATTTTTCACCAAATGGTTAGGCTATTTATAATAAGAGTTAAGAATTGTTTGAGGCTTTTGTGGTTATCAATGCATTAATGCTTCTCTCTCTAAGGCAAAATAAAAGATAGTGGTAAGTACCAAGCTTCCCTCCACCAGACACAGGAGCAAAGTAGAAGAGTCACCAAGCAGAGCAGGCCTTGAACACAAAGACATGAAACTTTCAGTGGACTTTTCCATTATCCATTTATCATGGCCATGTTAGCCTGTAGTGAAAACAGACCCACACACTAGTTTAGAACATAGTTTCCGAAACTATATTCTAAGGAGTATTTCATAAAATGTTCAAAAGTATCATAGGGAACCCAGCAGTTTCACTCCTAGGAATCTATCCAACAGATATTAAAACACATGTCCACATAAAAACTTGTATGTGAATGTTCATAACAGCATTGTTAATATTAGGCAGAAAGTGGAAACAACCTAAATGTCTATCAACTGATGAATGGACAAGCAAAAGGTGGTACATCCATTCCACCAAAAGGTGGAAAACCACTCGGCATTCAAAAGGAATGACCTATTGACACAAAATCAAAATGATTATGCTGAGTGACAGAGGTCAGGCAAAAAAAAAGAGTAAATACTGTACAATTCCATTTATATGACATGTCCTTAAAAGACAAATCTATAGATCTGTGCTGGGGTAGAAAGAGTGGGACTTTCGAATCAGGAGGCAGGAAGACCAAGGTGTGATGTAAGAGCAGTGATAGAATGTTTGAAGGGCTTACACTAAAGAGAGCTTGTAGTTCATCCACGTGGCCACAAGGGAAAGAATATATGTCTTTATTAGTAAGACTTTTCAAAAAGAACCAAGAGTGAAAGCAGTGAGGTCTTTGTCAATTCTTAAGCATAGTCTGGATGGACATTTGGCAGGGGTAGCATGGTGTAAGTGTTGGAGATACTAAGATTTAAATTGTTCAATACATTTTCACAACTCATTAAATTATAGACAACCAAACTATTAAGACTATGCAATTCCTCTTTCACTACTTGGATACTATTCTTTCCATCTTGGGGTTAGCCAGAGGAAATCCCTTCAAGGGCATTGCCGCCAAACATCCCTTTCCCCCACCACACTAAGATTGTATGTCCCAGGCTATCTCTATCCTACACAGAATCAAGGCAGGCAGAGCTCTTAACCATCAAGAAATATGGAAGTAAGGAGAGAGATGTGGGAAGATAGCTTCACACTGTTCTTAATGACATTCTTCCCTTTTCTGCTTCCTGCTCTCTCTGAATAAAATAGACCAGACTGTCTGCCAGGCAAGAAGTTCTGTAAGCATGAGAATAGAAAATAAAGAATCAAAGAGGGCATACCAAAGCACATTTGTATGTTGCCTCACTGTGGGAACTGGAACATCTAGACCAGTGCTGTCATCGAACTATCTGTGATGATGGAAATGTTCTAATATCTGTGCTGTCTAATACAGTAGCCACTAGCCACACATGTGGCTATTGAGCACTTGAAATGTGGTTAGTGTGGCTGAGAAACAAATGTTTAACTTTAGTTAATTTTAGTTAATTTGAATATAAATAGCCACAAGTGGCTAGTGGCTTCTGTATTTGACAGAACAGCTCTCGGGCAGTGAAGCCCCATCCTAGACATCACATGCTCTGAGAATTTTAGGGAGCTAGAGCAGGAAAGCGGCAGGCTTCAGGAGCTAGTTCTTAATCTCATGTATTTGCTCCTTCTTCTTCACACCCACTAACTCTGCCCTCATTTAGATCCTTCTAGCTCACACCGTCATTCCTGTCATGACCTCCTAAACATCCTTCCTGGCTTCATCTCTGCCCCCTCCAGGTTATTCTTCCGACTAACTCCAGAAGGATCTTCCTAAAACTCTATTTCCATCAAGTCACCTGTCTGAACTCCCAATCTTGGCCCAAACCCTCATTCTAACTATATTTCTCAGTTGGAACAAATACAAACCCTTCTCTGCAGCATCCAGCACACAATATGCTTTTGCAATCCATCCTTATCTAGGAATTTCTTAAACCATCCTTGCATTGTCCATGTGATATTCCATGAGTCAAACCCTCTGAATTTCCGTTAACTCATATAGAAGCCACACAATATGCTTTTGCAATCCATCCTTATCTAGGAATTTCTTAAACCATCCTCGCATTGTCCATGTGATATTCCATGAGTCAAACCCTCTGAATTTCCGTTAACTCATATAGAAGGGGCTCATACTGTCTGCCTTGCAGATATATTTTGAACAGAAAATGAAAGAATATATTTTATAGTGCTCAGGACAGTTCTGGCATCTGGCAGACACGCAGTAATTAGCTAAGCTTCGCTGACTACTTATTTGAGTGAAACGAGCAGAAGAAAAATAGACTCAGAATATGTATATGTGTTATTGTGTATAGTTTGTATTTCTTTGTGGTGTGTACTGTGGTCTTTATGTATGATGAAAACACACAGGAGATTGTGTTTTTACAACATTTAAAATACCTATGGTAAAACTATGTTTTAAAAAAGGAGATAATAGGAGTTTTTGTAAACTCTCACATTCTTAAGAGCTGTGGAATCTCTGGGGGCTCAAAAACCAAACGCTTTTGATTCGATTCAGTTTTATAATTCTTTCTACAAATATTTCTTAAGTGCCTGCAAGGTAAAAGTTCTAAGGAATATGCACTCAATAATTAGCAGACATAAGCACCAAGGTCCTGCTGACCTGCACCAGAACCCCAGAGCATGTCATCAGGCATCACTCTCATCTCCCATTATTGAAAGGGACTCCAAGTTGAAGAGTTCTGAGCCGACATGCCCCAGACCCAGAGGGGAGTTGGTTAGTGTTCACGCAAGCCTTGGAGACGTGTCAAAGGATCCAGTGCAATAGATTTAGAGGACCTGGAAAGACTGGAGAGCTATCTACACAACATGTCTATGACCGTATCCAAAATACACTTTCCTAATACGGACATATGTAGTTTTAGATTTGTTGGGCTATTATATTAAATAGTGTGATCAAAGATTACCAAACATTTACACCAAATTACCTTCAGGTATTCTCCATCTATGAAATCCACCTGACAAAAACAAACAAATGAGTAATAAATAAAAAGGAGTAAAAAATAAAACGGAGTTCTAAATTTGTGGAAAGAATGACTGCCCCAAGCCCTTCTGAAGGAAAATAGCTGATCAAGAGATCCAGAGGTGCAAGGATGCAAGCAATGTCATTACTGCCATCACACGCTTTCCTGGGAGTTCACCATCCTTCTGCCCAAGTGTTATTCCCACTTTGGAAAAAAATACATTAATACACAGAAAGCAATTTTTATCATTCTCCATTAAAATTTTTAAATGTCTCTTTCTTTAACAGGATGATATGATTGCTAAAAGAAGGGCTGAACTTATATTAGAGAAAGAGAAAAAAAGGAAAGGGGATGTAAGTAAATTTGTTTTGTTTTCTTCAAAATAGTAGGAGGGGGGTTAAGGAGAAATTGGTAAAGGGCCACAAAAAATGATTACATTATGTAATGATAGGTATAATAATTATCTTGATTTGAGGATCATGTATTACACACAGGTATTGATATTCAATGCTGTACCCCACAGATATGTACAATCAATTATGCTTCTATTGAAAATAAATTTTAAAAAAAGAGGAAAAGAAAGAATATCCATTATATATATAAGTATTATATATGTGTATATAA